ATAAATACTATGACCTGTGAATAAAAGCTCAGTTGACTCCCAGCCTATGTGTCGTCTAGTTCTTGGGAAGAAGGGATTATTATTACACTACCTGGATTATTGTATGCTGTACCTGTCTACCAGCGGAGACCCTGTGGATTAAACTACCTCTCCGCTACAGTGTTAAACCTACAGGAACACTGCGGAGAGAATGGGGCATTAAAGTTTTTTTGCCTCAGTGGCAAATTTTTTTGCCTAGGGCAGCAAAAATCCTTGTACCAACTCTGTGCTTGATTCATTTAATTAATTTTGCTAAAGCAGAAATATACGAGCATAATTCTGATTAGATTCCAAAACTTTTGAAATCATATTTAGCTGAGGGAATTATATATAATTAGAAATTCCATTCTGGAATAAAAGAATTATGTATGCTTTACTGATAATTTCTCAAGTTTAGCATTTCAAGCCATATCAAGGTAGACAGACACTAGAGGTGGAGCTAACACTGCAAGGTGATTATTGCAGTTTCTCAATAATGGCAATAATTACAACTTACACTTCAATTTCACTTCAATGAGATGTAGTGGCCTGGGTGCTTAAAGTGTCCCTTTAAAGACAGATAGGTGGCCTATTAGCAGTACTAGCAATGGCACACCTATACCACAGCAAACAGAAAAATGTACTGTTAGAATAATGTAAGATACTGTGCAACTACTGCTGGCACAGCCGCCATACTGAATAAAGTTTTAGTTTGTATCACTGTTGAAAGTTATTTTATTCCTTTTCTCAGATTTGAATGACTCTACTTGCACCAAGTGCCTTAATTTCAATCACCTTATAAAGAATAACTTTAAGATGAAATTGAGTACCAGATGTTGACTTAAGAGGGTAGAATAATTGGCAATGCTCTCGTAGTAGTTTGTATTTTTGTATGCAATGTGTGCGCAGCATATGAGCTTCACCACAATGTGAGAGTCAAAATACAGACCTTTTAAGGATGAGGAAGACAGATTTATGTTTAGGGTAAGAAAACTTTGCTTCCAAACTGCTTTACAAGTCAAAATCAGAAAAAAATCATCTACAGGTGACCTATGATGGTCCCAGGATAAAGTCACCAAGCCAAAGACTATTACTAAAGATAAAAAAACCTTCTTATGACAATATTATTTCAATAGCGACTAGGGCCCCTGTATGAATTGTCATAGAAGATTTTCATACTTGTACAGAAATTCTCCAGTCACTGTTGCATAACATTCTGCTTCTGTAATACATATGTCAGGCCACTGCCTTTAAAGTCATGAGGTGTGGGAACTATAGTAGTGGCAACAATAGATATTGTGAAACATCTGTGATAGTTAAAATATAACCTTTATTGGAATTAATAAAATACTGTCTAACAACTGTATGTGAAAATACAGCGATGGAGTAGTCTAGAATATCAATGGAAAAGAGAAAACCATAACCATACACCGTGAAAAAAGAAGAAATGGAACTAAAAAATACAACACATTTAAAATATCATGTCATTGGTAAGATAAGATCCATGTAACTGGTAATTCTGAGTCAAGGTAGCCCAGATGAATCGAAAATAGTAAAATTCCTAAGGGCTGAAATGCCAGTACATGTGATATATATTGGAATGGAGTTACCCAGTGTTATAGAAAAGTAGCATAAAAGGATCAAATATTATAGTGCAGATAGCACTCCTGATGATCCTGGTGATGGCTTCCGGGTGAAACGTGCATTAGAGTGCACACTCTGGCTTTCCTTAGAGCTGGTGGTTTTTTCACTTTAGAGTTTTTATAATTTAGCCAAACTTCCACTCTCCTGCTCACTACTCCATTTAGACTTGTTATATACTTAGTTTATCTTAGATACTACGTTTAGGAACAGCTACTATATTTAACTGCTACTGTATCAAGTTTTACTCATTTGAAACATCTGTATAGACTTAGTTTATCCTAGATACTAAGTTCACCTCTCCCTACACAGCAACCACAGTGTTAGAGAATATCTGCCCCACTTATTATATTATAGTAGTGGCAACATCACTCTGATGACATAGCTCAGTGGACATAGCTTAAACTCTAATTTCCGAGTAAGGCTAATTCAGCCTCATCATTTCGAAGTAGATAAAGTGAGCAACTTTAAGTTGTCCATTAATAACATTTAAACCTCCAGATGTATCCTGAACATGATCTATTTCTTCTCCAAATGCTTGTTTAACCCCTTAAGGACACATGATGGATTTAAAAAAAAAAAAAAATTGTCACGCTGGCCTATTATTTCTGAAGCTGTGTCCTTAAGGAGTTAATGTGAAATTAATAAATATAATAAAGCATTTAATTTCTTACTATCACACATTTTTGCAATGTATATCAATTAAATTTTTTCAAACAAAATTATAAATATAAATACATGCTATTTTTAAGCTGTGATTAATTTGTTTTCAACAAACTATGTTCTTACAATTCAAAGTTTTTAATAATCTCATTCTCTAGATAAAATCTTCACTCACTTAGTATTTAAATAATAACATAAACATGGCAAAACATGTTTGGAATTCATATTGTAGAATCTTTTATAGTTACTGAGGTTATTAATTCTCCACGGGAACTATTATACCTCTATTTCTAGAACATACTTGTTTCCAAAGATTTGCTACTTTAATTTCCACTCTTTTGTTGACGAAAATGAAAATTGAATAAAGCTGTGAGTTGTTAAATAATACATAAGACACATGAGGTCTTTGCTTACAAATACAGTAGCTAATCCTATAAAGGGTAGACATTTTATCTGTAAGGCCAACAAGGATATTGGATTAGTGTCTGCTTTTTCTTGAAATACACTCCCCCATACCTAGACAATTTATTTTCATTGCAATACATTCTATTCTGGATTTCTAGTGAATTATGAAGGTCATAAGCTTAAATAAATATAAGCATTTAGTTAACGGAAGGAAAAGAAAGGTAATTTATGGAACCTCAAGATATTGTTTTTTTTTTTCAGAGAATTTTTCAATACAGACTCTTTTTATCAAAGGAAAGTCAACATTAAAATCCCTGTGAACATATGTTCAAGGACATAGCTATACATGTAATGCATGGGGACAGCAACATACAGATTGTCTTTGTATTGCTATATGATAAAAATGAATGCATATCTTTGGACATCAATAAAAAGCCCCTTGAGAGAAACTTGAGAATATAAAATTGGCAAACAAATTGAGAAAGGAGAGCACAATATAATATCGTCTAGATATCTTTACTAAGAACATGTTCTAGATAACTTCAATGAGATTTCCCCAGCCCCGTGGGGGCACACATTATGGAACATTTAAGCTTTTCTATCAACAATAATCACAAGGAATTAAATGGTGAAAACATAAATACAGTAGATAAACTGGATTCCTGAGAAGCAAACCTGCTACAGCTTTGATGTTAGGATTCCTGAAGTGTAACTGTTAAGATACTGCACAACCTAAGGGAGGAACACATTCAACCAGAGTTTCAATCTTCTGTTACCATGAATGTAGTCAAAAGATACCATTTGGATCATGTTCCTTGTTTATAAGTATTCATATAGATTCACATGTATTTATCTTTGTATTATGCTTTTTTATTTATGTTTTTCATTTTCAAAAAGGTAGCTATACTCAATTTGATCCAAAATGTTACTTTTCAAAAAAAAAATAGAAAAAACTGAAATTAACTAATTGGAAGAATCGATATAATGATAACCATATACTATTAATTGAATAAGTGCATCATGAGAACTTCCTATCAAGAAATGTAACTGTTTAACCCTTTTCAGGGGCAGCAATGTACACTGCACATTGCTGTCTAACATACATTTGTTATATTAGTAGATATAGTAAATAGTCATGTTAAATATGTCACATTAATTCATTGGGTGGCCTGTTTATTGTTGAGTTTTTCACAAATTAAGTTGTACAGCAATAAACCTCATGGGGCTCTACTTGAAGTACACAAAGAATGATATGAAACTCAACATGATAATTCAATATGCATGTAAAAAATTGAAATTCGCCACACAGTTCCACAGAAAGCTAAATATGTTTAATATAAAATGAATTAAAATGCAGATTATTATTATTGCTGGTGTTTATTTAGCGCCAGCATATTCCGTAGCGCTTTGCAATTTTATCAAAGGGGGAGATTTAACAGTAATTGAGACAATTACATAAACTTACAGGAACAATAGGTTGAAGAGGGCCCTGCTCAAACGAACTTACAGTCTATAGGATGTGGGGCAGGCCCGGACTGGCCATCGGGCACACCGGGCAAATGCCCGGTGGACCGCGGTGTCCGTGGGGCCGAGGCCGGCAGGGGAGGTCCCAGGATCTCCCCTGCCGGTCTATGCAGGGCCGGCACTCTACTAGCGCCGGCCCTGCTGTTTGCCACGACGGGCCGGTGGGGAGATCAAGGATCTCCCTGACCGGCCCACAAGCGGCCGCCGGCGGGGAGGGAGGGAGCCAGCCAGGCTGGAGAGAGGACCCGGCGGAGCTCTAACTTGCAGCTCTGCCGGGTTCCTCTCGCGAGATCCGGCGCGTTGCCATGGCAACAACCGGATCTCGCGAGAGTGAACTCCAGCCTCACAGGCTAGAGTTCACTCACCCACAGGACCACCAGGGAACACTGCCTCCCCGCCTCCCAGTCCCAGCGTGCCGGTCCCCCCCCTCCCAGGCTAAAGGTAAGAAGGGAGGAGGGGGAAATAATGACTGATTTTTTATTTTTTTTATTTACCCCCCCCTACACACACACACAATAACATTTATACAGCACTCTCACACCTATCACACACAGCACTCTCTCACATAGCACTCTCACACCCATCACACACAGCACTTTCACACACACAGCACTCTCTCACCCATCACACTCACAGCACTCTCTCACAGAGCACTCTCACACACACACAGCACTCTCTCACACAGCACTCTCACACCCATCTCACACACGGCACTCTCACACACACACAGCACTCTCTCACACACGGCACTCTCACACCCATCTCACACACGGCACTCTCACACCCATCACTCACGCACGGCACTCTCACACAGCACTCTCTCACACCCATCTCACACAGCACTCTCACACCCATCACTCACGCACGGCACTCTCACACCCATCACTCACGCACGGCACTCGCACGGCACTCACACGGCACTCTCACACACATCACACACACCGCACCCCTCACACACACACACACACACCGCACCCTCACACACACACATACTGCACCCCTCACATACACACAGAACCCCCCCAACACACTGCACCACACACATACACAATACTTCCAAATATATATATATATATATATATATATATATATATATACATACACACACACACTACACTCTTAAAGGACCACTCTAGCCACCCAGACCACTTCAGCTTAATGAAGTGGTCTTGGTGCCAGGTCCTTCTAGGGTTAACCCATTGTTTTATAAACATAGCAGTTTCAGAGAAACTGCTATGTTTATCAATGGGTTAAGCCTTCCCCCAAAGCCTCTAGCAGCTGTCTCATTGACAGCCGCTAGAGGCGCTTGCGTGCTTTTCACTGTGAAAATCACAGTGAGAGCACGCAAGCGTCCATAGGAAAGCATTATAAATGCTTTCCTATGCGACCGGCTGAATGCGCGCGCAGCTCTTGCCGCGCGTGCGCATTCAGCCGACGGGGCGGATCGGAGGAGGAGAGCTCCCCGCCCGGCGCTGGAAAAAGGTAAGTTTTAACCCCTTTCCAGAGCCGGGCGGGAGGGGGTCCCTGAGCCACATATGCATCACATTACACCACAAACACAACACGACTAAAACCGACCTTATTACACAATACCACACCACGACCAGCTCACTCTACACACACGCAATACCACAAGCAGGCTCTAAACACATGCACAATACTCTTTCCTGGCCTTTTGTCTCCTGGTATCCATTTATAAAGACACCAGAGACAAGTTGCAAGGAAACACAGTGCAAGCATGTTATTAAATTTGCTTGCACTGTGCAGAACAAATACAGGACTTTTTTCTCATGCTAGAGCTCTTCAGCAGAGCTCTGCGCATGGTCTGCCCTGGAAGAGCATTGAACCAACATGCTCACTTTGAGAGGAGGCATGTTTGTCATTGATGATGACAAAACACACCTCCTCTGCCCCGCCCCCTTTTTAGTGGGCCGCTGTGTTAAAAAAATGCCCGGGCCGAATTTTTCTCCCAGTCCGGCCCTGATGTGGGGCATAAAACCCAACAGGACAGGAGGTGGAAATCAAACAAGGAGGAGTGAAGCTGTAACATATTCATCCTCACCATGCGGTGTCCGCGCTCAGCGGCCATGCATCAGTGTACCTAACTCTTGCAACATGTTGGTGGATGCTGGCCACTGCGGATCCATGCCAAATTATAGCCCCACGTCCACCCAAGGTGATGACGATGTTGGCATGCATGTGACGTCATGTGGGAGACATGCGCACATGTTCTAGGGTTAGAGGCCAATTTTGGCCAATCAGATTTGTAAAAGGCTTATTTAAACACATTTTTACTTCTCCTCATTGCCCTGTCATGGTTTCCCTTAGTGGTTTTCTGAGAGTGTGTTCCTGAGCGTTTATTTCTGGTTATTGACTTTGGCTTCGTTTGACTTTCCTGTATTCTGGTATCCCTGACTTTTGGCTTTCCCTCATTGTTGTGTCTCATTCTGTATCCCCGACCTTGGCAAGTATTCTGACTATTCTCTGGTACATTAAGTCCGGCCATGCTAAGGCCCTGTAAGACGTTACCTTTTAGTCCTAGGTGTGATACAGTTCTACGCGCTGGATCAACTAGTGATCCTGACAGAAGCAGAGCTGGAGAATAGAGTGCTGCATTTTAGGAGAGAGCAAGGGACAGGTACGTGAGGTAGAGGTTACTCTGGGAGGCCATAAGCTTTCCTAAAGAGATGGGTTTTGATGCACTTTTTAAATGACTGAAAACTAGGTGAGAGCTTGATGGTCATAGGCAGGCTATTCCATAGGAAGAGAGCCGCCCGTAAGAAGTCCTGCAAGCGGAGAGACTAAGAAAGGGCATACCTGCAGATCAGTGAAGAAATATAGGAGGGGCTAGAATTGGTCAGTGCTTTATAGGTGTGGATTAGTACCTTGAATTGACTCCTATAGGATACAGAAAGTCAATGTAAGGACTGACAGAGGGGAGAGGTGTGAGAGGAGCGATAGGAGAGGAAAAAAGTCTAGCTACAGCATTCATTACAGACTGTAGTGGGGCAATACGACTTGTGGGAAAACCTATTAGGAGAGAGTTACAATAATCCATGCGAGAGATTACTAGAGCTTACTTAGTAGCATCTTGTGTAAGAAAGGGTCGGATGCGGGCTATGTTTTTAGGGTGCTATTATGTCCAAAAAGTTGCATGGATTCAATAAAATAGTCAAAATGTAAAACTATGTTTTGACCTTGCTACTTATCAAAAATCTGGCAAAGTATTGCTGTGCGTACGGTAGTAGCAAAATAGTAAAAGTGTTCATTTTGCCCATGTAAATAAAATATATGTAAAAACACAAATAAATAAATATAACCTGCAATTTTAGCAATTGTAACAGAAAATGGTTCAATAAAAAGGATCAAAATACTCTTAGATAAATACCTTGGAGAGGTCTACATTATAGAAATACACTTGTTGGTTGCTTTGGTGTAGGGTTCTTGAATTCAATTGCTACTATTACAAATATAGTCTAGGTATATCATGTTTTGCAATGGTTAGCTTTAAAACTGTGATTCATTCTCTGCAATATTTATCCTGTAAGTTCAAAAAAATGCATATCCATATAAAAAGAGTGATAAAAAGACATTTGTCAAGAATGCACAGTGTCTCAGAAAAGCTCTGGTCATGAATGGGTTAAAGACATTGAAAGTGAAGCTATTTCAACTGGTAATTATCTATATCTTATATGAATGTTCCATCTCTGGTTAATAAATGGTCATTTTCATATAATAATGTGTCTTTAACAGACTACTTTTAAAATGGATTTTACGTGTTTACAACACTTTTCAGTACTGCTCAAATCGACCTACAATAAATACATTAGCTGCTTAATATTCATCTTGTCAGTTTTTTCAGGAAATATTTCAACTGACTGTTTTGTAGTAACCAATTATTAAAAATTCTAAATAAAATAATTTATTATATTTACACAAAATGCTGCACCTTAAGCCCTTAAGCCTCATTTCTGTCAATAAAAACAGCCCAATTAAAAACAAAGAACCAATCCCCCCTCCAAAATAAATAAACTATCTGTGAAACCAAAGTTACATTTGCAAATTAACTATATTTACCTACTACCTACTTTCCCCTATGCTTCAGTTTCGTCTTAACACAACAGACAAAACAATTAATTTATCTTCCAAAATCCAAACAGGCTATTTTGCCCTCAGTTTCACATTAAATTTTGTTTAAAGGGGGTCTGTCACCCCTCAAACCACTCATGATGTTTGGAGAGATGATAATGTTTTATCTATATATTGTGCTAGCATTTTTTGTTAGCAAATTATAGATTGAAAGAAAAACCTTTTTAAAAATACATTTATCTCTTGTCTGTTAATCAACTCTATGGCATAGACTCAATGCTGAAGAATTATGAGTCAGGAAGAGCACGAAGGATCTCCTACAGGTGGCCCTTCTGCTCTCTAGCCATAGTAACCACAGTGCATGCACTGTGGTTGCTATGGTAACAACTTTGCCTCCACTGTGTAGGAATGGCTCAGCTGACAACACTCTATTCAGATGCTGCCATGATGGCAATGTAACCAATATGTCAGCATCATGGAGAAGGATTGCCCTGCTTGAAGAAGCAACCTCCAGCAGGGCAAGCCAGTGAAGACCACGAGAGGAGCAAAAGGCGATTATTACAGAAATGTGACACCAACCTCTGTAAGAAGCTCAAAGTGGTGAACAGATGGTCAGGTACATTTTTAGTACATAAATGACATGTACACTGTATGTTGTACACCACTTTTATCATATAAATGGAATCTCTTTCATCATTTGGACCATAGTCTAACGAATGTACTAAAATGTATATATTTATTTATTCATAACATTTTTTACCAGGAAGGATTTCTCTCATTTTCAAGTATGTCCTGGATCCACAAACATTGCATAATTACAATATGGTACATTATAATATTAAAAATGCAAAAACATAGAATGTGACGGCAGATAAAAACCATTCAGCCCATCTAGTCTGCCCAATTTTCTAAATACTTTCATTAGTCCCTGGCCTTATCTTATAGTTAGGATAGCCTTATGCTAATCCCATATTACTGTGCGATTACCAAATTCTAACGTAACCCAAATGGACTCTATGTTCGCCTCACTAACTTTTATTATGCTAGATTTTATGCCATCCTTCACATACAGGGCCACCTCTCCCCCTTTCTTGCCTTCCCTGTCTTTTCGAAATAAAGAGTACAAATAGAATAGGGGACAATCTGCTAAATACAAATAAAAAAAACAGAGGGTAATAGTTTCATTCATAGAAAAAGTTGCCATAAAGATAAATGGTTAGAAACCATACCAAAAAGTCAGCTAATACGAGTGAGAAGAAATTGTACAAAGAACTCAGACTATAGAGAACAGGCTGAGCATTTAAAAAATAAATTTGTGGCAAAGAAATACGAAACAACATTGCTAGATAAAGAAATCAAAGAAATAGGAAAAAAGAATAGAAGAGATCTGATAGCATTTAATCCCAAAAGACACTCTAAGGATAATTATAATTTTTCTTTTACCACTCAATACAATACACAACATTGGAAAATAAAAAAAGATTCTCAACAAACATTGGAACATTTTGGGTAAAGTGTTGCCAAAAATAACACCAGTTATTTTTAGGAGAACAAAAAAATCTAAAAAATTTATTAGCACCAAGTTATGCTTTAAAAATTCCACACAAGAGTGTGATTTCAAATATTAGTGGTTTTAACCCTTGTAATTCTTGTAAAGCCTGAAAAAAAACAAAAATTTGTACAAAGGAGAGAATTCATGAGCTTCACTACAAAAGAGAGATTTAAAATAAAATCCAATATAAATTGCAATACGAGAAATGTGGTATACATGCTACAATGCCCTTGTGGGAAACAGTACGTGGGGAGAACATGCAGAAAGTTAAAAGAGAGAATATTAGAATATCAAAATAATATTAGAAAAAATTCAATGAAACATATAGT